CTGTCATTGTTTCTTACTTACACTAAAGCCACAGCCTCACATCTATGAAAATGTCTTGCCTTTACTTGCCTCTTTCATTCAATCCATCCTTTACTTTCTATCCTTCTGCCATCGATCTATCTAGGCTGCCTGTTTGTTTGAGAGAGATAATATGACACAACTGGCCATCAATTAATCCACAGTATGTGTCTGTGGAAAAGCTCGGCGCTCTATATCACAATGGCATCATGGATTACAAAGATGACACACTGTTTATTTGATTTTCCATCTTTGGGACAAAGTTGCTCACACGTGCTGATGATTCTGCTCGGACTCAGCAGACTTAGTACCAGCTTTCAAACGTTCAGGTTGAAGATCTCTCTTTAATGCGTCTCTTCCCCTGCCTCCTTCTTCATTCTCCGCCCAGAGTTCATGTGGATTCAGCAGATGAAATCAATAAAGCATTGTAGCTTTCCTCTGGATTCACCAGTCAATCAGTTTCATGGGACGAGCAGGCGGTCGTCATGCTTTATAGACTCCTCATCTGCTCCTACAGTTCTCTGTGGGGGAGCGCTGTTTTCTTTCTCAAGACCTTCCTCAAACACCCCCCCCCCCCCCCCAATGTTCCAGCCACGATTTCACAACTCTCCATTATTCTGATTAAGCCACTTCCTTTAGTCCTTTACAAAAGCTGCTTTACAGAATGATTGAATAGGCCCGACAGCCTATATCATTACCATTTAATTAATTACTTGTCAATCCCACCTTGTTATGATTAAAAAGGATATCATTGGGTATTTCACTCTTTTTCATTTGGAAATGACAGTCTGCCACTCACTTCTTTCCACTGAAGCCTAATTCTGATGAATTCCCAACCGGGGTGAAGAAAAGACATGATTAATAGCATGCATGAGTGAAACACATAGAGTTAGAAAGGGCAGAGGGCAGTGTGTGGTCTGGACTGCATTGTTTGTGAATTACAATGGTATAGACCAGGGGTCGCCAATTGGCGGACCGCGGTCCGGATCCGGACCCAGACGCCGTTGTATCCGGACCCAGGACCTAAAATCGATTTTATTTTGACAGGGCGCTTCTATTTTAACCGGAGCAGCTTTTTCAGCCTGTAAGGCACTTGTTCAGCGGTGCAGGAAACGCACCGACCAATGCGTTGTAAATCACATCACGTGATGCAGCTCAGCCAATCAAATATGAGTATTCTGACAAGTTTCCTGACTGGAGTGAGATGTACACACACCGGGGGAGAGACGAGGAGAGAGAAGGAAGAGCAGGAGAATAATACACGAGTCAGAGAAGTTCACATAACGTTCTCCAAAGAGAGAAAAGTGGTCAAAGAGACCAGAGTCTTTAACCAAGAATGAACAGACTCTTATAGGTTAATTCTTCCCACGGACAGTTTATAACCAGTGTGTCTCATATGTTCAGAGACCGTGACGATTATTAAAAGCGGTAAATGAAGCGACACTACGAGACAAAGCACAACTCTTTTCATCAAACGTACCCAATCACATCTAAATGAAGACACAGAAAATAAACCTAAGAGCCCATTATGATCAGAATCCTAACACATGAGTTCACTGCCCAACAAATATGTTACCAGAGAGGATAGAGCTGAAACAAGTGGTTTAATAACCACATAAAGTCCATGTTCACTGATTTCTCTTGTTAGAAGATGAGAAAAATACAATATTGTGGCTTTTTTGATTGACATCACTTCACACCTGAATGAACTGAATCTAAAGCTGCAGGACAACTCAGTGAAATAAATTTTTCTAAAATGAATTACTTTATTTTAAGATGCACATTTTTGAAAAGCTTCCTGTTATGTCAGTTATTCTTTAATCCAGCCCTTATTTTACTTGAAATTAGAGAACATGTATTTATGTATTATTTATAATCCATCCAGTTAAATTTGAAAACTGAGAATAATATTTGTTAAAAATAATTGATGTCCTTTCTTTATTTGATTTGACAGTTGTTGACTACACAGACACGTTACTACTACTAGACTTCTCGAATATATATATATATATATATATATATATATATATATATATATATATATGGCACTAAATAGCGCATTATTATTGTAATGTTCCGGACCTTTGCCCAAGGAGATTTTCCCGATCTGGACCTTTTGGAATTTTAATTGAATACCCCTGGTATAGAGGTAGGAGAGACATCCACATGGTTCTATACAATTAATACATGTGATCATATAATACATGTAATAAGAGACAAGTCTTACATTCTCTTTAGGATGACTATGTAACACCATGGCTCACATGGTGAATGGAAGTTTCCCATCAGTGCAAATACATGCTGTACTTACTTCACCACTCTGCTGCTCGAACCTTTTCATTTCCTACTCAATTTCAGTCACCTCCATTCTGAGTGCTGTTAACTTACTGTCAATGAAACTCAACACTTCTTGGCAATTGCAAAACTAAAAGCCGATCAGGAATGGGAAGGATTATGCCCTGTGAGTCACTGGAAGGCATATAATATGAAACGTCTGAGCACAAAGCGTTCAGTATCATTGACACTAGCTTAACAGCAAAATCAAAAATAAAGGCTAATTTAACTGGAAGTATTGAAGAACATATTACATGACTCTGCCAATGTTGTTCTGTCTGTCAAAATGTAGAGTGTGCTGAATTTATGAAGTTTTGAATTTGCATTAAAAGCAAGCAGCATCAAGAACAAATGCGGAGCAGAGCAGAAAACAGATGATTATTACTAAAATGTAATATCAATAGGGTTTACATTTAAAGTACACATTAAACTAGTAAACTTTATCATATGCATGACTAAAACTAAATCAACATTATTCAAAATCAACAATATCCTCACAAAATTCCACAGGACATTGCAGCCTCGCTGAAAAAAAAGAAGAAGCTTTTACTGCTTTAGCCACCCTTCCCCTCACACTGCTGCACATCTCTTCTTTCTCTCACACTCTGTGCCATCAACCATTTAACAGGCGACCTTCCCTCACCTCTCAAGCTAAAATCCAAAAGCTGTATCTGCACACTGTCAACACAGAAATATAGCCTGCCATTCAGCTTGGCCAGCGTGCCTTTTTGAGTCCATCCAGTTGGGATTTATGGCTAGTAGAGTTTTCACAAACCATAAAGGAGCCATGTAATCCTCCTATTGAACTTGGAAAATCGCAAATATTGGAGTTGCAGGGTTTTCACATGATGTCAGTGATATACCTGTCCGCCTCTCATTTCTGCCACCCTGCCTCATCACACACAACCTGTCTACGCTCTGCTACACCTGTCTGTCAACATGTCTGCGTGTATGCATGAGTGCATGCCTTCTTGGCATGTTTGAGTGATTTGATATGCACACAGGCTTGTGTGTGTGTGTGTGTGTGTGTGTCTGTGCGTCACTGTGTCTGTCGTTCATGTTAAATCTCCATCAAAGTCGTCATAAAGCAAATCCATCTGTCATACTGTGAGTAACTTCTGATTGTCAAGCCCCCATTAATGACCGAGCTTTACATCCTTTCCCACCCACCAAATGAGAGCGCTTATTTATTACCGCTTGATGGCAGGCGCAGAGAAAGACAGAGGATATACGGGGAGGCGAGAGAAGAAAAAAACCTGCCACAGAGAGGAGGCAGGAAGAGAGAGCGTGTGATAGAAGGGTAAGGGGTAAATGGATGGATGGGAGAAAACAGGAAGACAGTGATAAAGAGTGAGAATGTGAGAAAGGCAGTGACAGATGTAGGCAGAAACAAAGAAAAGTGCTTTCGAGTCCTCCCTCCCCAAATTGATTCTGACTGTCGGCCGGGGCGCCTGATGGATATCTGAGCCTTGATTGGAATTTACATGCCAGACACGACCATACCCCAGCACACCCAATAACCCACTGTGCTCTCAACCTGCCTTGAGTGATAAGTGCTGGCATGTTTTGCCCCAACAATGGGAGTTTCTGAGGCCCCCAGAATGATGCATTGTCTATGAGAGGGAGTATCGTTTTAACAGTTGATTAATGGCAAGGAAGCTATCGTCAGCTGCCATCGCACCGCGGGGGCACGTCGGGGCCCAAATTGGATGAGTGCGAGGGAAGAGGAAAGGTGCTCAGTTGCTAGATGGAGTGGAACTATCACATCAAGATATTTCGCTTTGGCACAGTGTTTGCTTTGCATGCCTGCACACACATGCAGAAAATGGGAACTTTCAACAGCAGCAGCAGCCCTGGGGATTCACTGTCATGTCCCAACCCTACACATCAATAAAAGTAAACAGGCAACATTACTTTATAATCCGAGGCTCCGAATGGATATATGACCTGAATATAAAACACACATTTCAGAGGTAGAAGGAGATTTGGGTGATATTGAAACTGGATTTTCTTTTGAAAAACGAGAACAAATAGAATCTCCTGGCTTTCGTCAGATTTATCGTCGCGTTTTGGGAATGCAAATATCGAGCTCTTTGCAACAGCCCTCATACCAGGCATTCGCTCTCCGCCCTCTTCTGTGTCCAACTGGGCGCCGCGCTTGATTTAGTTTTAGATTTACAAGTTTCTCCAAAGTGAGACAACTATCTGGTTGGTCAGATGAATTCTCACTAAATACTTCATTCAATTCTCCATGGATTTAATACAGCATCTTATGCTCATTCACAACAACTATGACTTTACAATCAGCACAATCAGGGAATTCAGATCATTGATAATGTACGCAGGACGTAGAGCATGGAAGGTCATTATCTGCTTTGAGATCAATGTGTCTGACAAAACAATGTCAACCAAGGTTCCATACTTGGATCGCATGATGGCAAACGTGAGCCGGATCCATTCACTGGTGAATACCACGAGACGCCGTTGAAAGCTCAGAAAAGGGGTAGCAGGTGGACCTCGAGTCGAGTTCATTTTGTCACACAAAAAGGAAGCTGTTCGGGTGGTCGGCCCATCTGTTAGTCACGGGCATGTCAGTATTCGCACTTCAACAATCCAGTGTTAAAAAAGAAAAGTCTTGCGGTACTTGCCTATGTTGCCTGTGCGTATGTGCAGCCGGCCCCTGATAATGGTGTGGACCGTCACGGGGCTGAGAGCTGGCCGTCGGCCCACATCTGCGCTCGTCAGCAAGGTGTCCTCTCCCACATAATCAGTGGTCAGCACCTCCACCTCGTGAAGGGCCTGCACTGCCGATTTACCCTGACGCAACATGTACTGTGGATGCAAAATAGGGTGTGAGAAAAGGAACTGAGCTGCATTTATTGACAAGTATGCATTAAACACAAATGTGCTGATTAAGACACATTTAACGTGATTAAATGAAAACACATACGTATACGCCAGGAGTGGGAGTTTGACTTATCGCTAAATGAATAATGTCAAAACAGCCCAACCCGGTTGTAAACGACTCCCTTACTTTTTTCTCATTAAATGCTTTACAAACTTCACCAAGTTGCAAAACAAATCAATTCCGCATCAAGGTTGGCAAGAGAGTTTCTGTCCAATCAATGAACACCAGGGTTGAAAAGTTCAAATTAAAACGCCTTTAATGTGTCATTTGTCTTCTCTTTCAGAGGTTGATATCGGAGGGAAACTCGCTTCGGTCAAACCCTTGAACACACAGGGACAAAACACATAAAAAGTGCGTTTGTCGAACCACCACATCTCATGAAACAAGATCAATTGTATTTGTTATGGTCCTCGAAGACAGAGTAAAACCATTTATAACAACTATTGTCCAATGTGTATGATTTGTGTATTTTAGGAAACCTGGGTAATTTAGAGTATAAAGAAGTGTTTTTGTATTTGACTTTCTATTATCAGAGGCAGCTTTCTCTGCAACGCTTGGCTCCCGCTATTGAATGTGTTAAGACAATCTGCAAACGCCGCATGAATCCATGACAGAGGCACTGCGTTACGATGAGGGTGCGTCACGAGTTGACAACGCATGTGTGAACAGGATGTGTTTTCCTGTGGAGCCTGTGGTTTGATGCCCAAACTCTGTGAAGTTCTTGCAGCGAACACCATGTCGGTGGGAATTAGAGTTTGTGTTTCATCCGACAACAAATAATCACTTTGATCTTGATACATTTGAATCACATGTCGACCTTTTTACCTTGAGCTCGACGGCAGTAGAACCTATAAGGAGCAATGAGTCGCTGTCCCAGATGTCAATTTGCATGGTGTGGAGGGCCAGGTAGCGCAGGAACCAGCGCTTCTCTCCGGGCTTCAAGAAACCCCCGTCTACTCTGAACTGCACCTGCAGGCCCGGGGAGCCTTAGACAAGGAGAGACAGGACTTCAGCATGGAGGGGAAAACACATGTAACGTGTGATGTAAAAATGTATGATGATGTGAGTAGCAGGATAAGGAATCAGGACATCATCTGCTTACATAGCTCGCTACATCAACTTAAAATATTGACAGAAAAATGACTGAGTAAGGTGCGGCTGGTTGTTCAACAACAACAACTCATACATTGGCAAATTTCTTCTATTGTCAAAAAAACCTGTTTATTTTGCTGCTTTTAGCAACCCTAGCCAATGCGTCAACTGAAAATAACATCTACAGGACACTCCCAATTACAACGTGTTAGTTGTGGAGATTTGCTGCTGTTCTTTGTGTTATCACATTTGTCTATTTTTTTTATTTCTTACATCTTTCCTATCTTTATGGAAGAGAGAATGGCATGTTGTTACTCAACACCACCACCAGAAAAAGTGACTGATCTGATGATTATGTGGGCCTTTTGTTTCCGTCCAGATGGCTTTGAATATGGAGGGGGAGCCATAATATCTGTAACCAGCTGTCAACCTTGTGGACAGAACTGAACGGGTGCAGCGGCCATCGACTGGGAGTCATTAGGTCTGATGATTGTGCTTGATGGGAGTACAATAACCAAGGAGTACGAGGCCATTTCACAAAATCACAAGCACCCTAGGGTTCTCGTATTTCAAGATGATAATGCCGCCTAACACGGCCAGGAAACCTTGAGAGTGATTTTATGAACAGTGGGCTAAAGTCACGGCATTAATCGCCACATCAACCGTAGACCACTCAAGCTGCTTTTCTTCTTGAAACACTATGCACAGGTTTAGGACTGGAGCTTTTCTGAGGACAACGGCAGCCTTAAATCTCTTTAGTATTCATGCTACCAGTATAATCTGGAAGCCATTTGCCATTTTGTCCACTCCTGCAAAGTCACATGCAGAGACATACACACCAGCCATTTTGCTATGATTAAGCCCAGACTGATTTTGCCCTGTGATTCTCTCATGACCCCATGCACCAATGTGAAATCTGACTCATCCTCCAACTCCGAGCAGCTCAAATGGAAGCGACCCCATCACTGATCCAACTCAGCTGGTGAGTGGGTACAATCAGTCAGCTGCAGCCCAAACCCAACCTGCAGCGTCCGTGTTACAGCGCGCGTGTGTTCAAGGTGTTCAGCTTCTGTTTCCCAGGGTTCAAACACAAAGTTTTGTTGGAGGCAAATGCCAAAACCTAGTGCACGGTCATGGTTGGGGCTCCATAGGATTGTTTTGAATCTGACCTCCAATCTCCAGACTTTTAGAATCTGAATCCTTTGAAGTCACTAATCAGATCTTTTGTAGGTTTGGCTTCTGACACGTTTAAGAGACAAATGAATGAGTTGCTATCAGCCCAAATGAATACCTGAATATGAGAAAACACTCACCCCACACAGTTCATTTAGTAGCTGTAAAGAAGCTTTCGATCATATCAAATGAACTTCATCAGCAGATGGAGTTTGCCCACATTGCACAACATTAGATTTGTTTTTCTGAGCGATTTAAGGACTTTGCGTCTTATAAATTGAACTTTATCTAATACAATACAATTAGCTAGGTCACTTGCTTGTGTATAACTTCAGTTATGTGACAGCAGGTGGTCCTGTGTGTGTGTGTGTGTGTGTGTGTGTGTGTGTGTGTGTGTGTGTGTGAGACTGGCTTTGGTCTGGTCTTCATTTTAATTTATCTCGTCATATACTGGAGTGAAGTTCTGTTTTCTCCTCATCAAGGTAGAAAAGTCGCCATAACAGCGTTTAGATCACCATGAGACACTGAAACTCTGGAGAGAAAGGCAACATACAATTCTTTCGGATGGGTTGCAGCTAATTATAGTGACTTGAAGTTAGAGAGGTAACCTAGGGACGGCTGAGTAGAATCCACCCACAAGGGAATGTTTTTCATTGATCAGATATCTCAAATGAAAAAAAAACATATCGACTAGGGAAACCTCCATTGTAGCAGTGACAGGCCATTACAGGCTTGTTTGACAGTATTCAAGAAAGAGATAAAGGGAAGACAAACAAAGACCAAAGAAGTCTATTTATATACAGTATTTCTGTGCTGCTTTTCCTTTTGCCTAACCTACAGTGACTCCCTCACCTCCCCCTCTCCCCAACCACCCGCCAACTCCCTCCACTTGCTCCATTAATTCTCCCAGCATGCTCTTGGCTTGTACACAGTGGATGGGTGGCAATGAGAGCACAGAGGGAGAGCGGGAGGGAGATAGAAACAGAGAGAGAGAGAGACAGAGAGAGAGATAATGTGCGATGTGTGTCTGTGCTCACAAATGGGGAAGAGCTGACAGATCTGGCCCAAGGGTTGTATGTATGTGTGTGTCTGTGTGTGTGTTTGTGTGCAGCTTGGTCTGCAGACGAGAAGTGGCAGCCAGCCGACCCCCCCAAACCTGGATGGTCTGCCTGGTGTGCACACAGCAGGATCAACAACTCTCAACAACTCTGTGAAGGCTGCAGGCAAAGAAAAGGGTGAGGATGAACAGAGTGCAGAGCTAGATGGAGATGCTGACGCAAACCAAAGCATCACTGTAGACTAAGGTTACATTTACCAACATATTTTTAGTTTTAAAAACAACAAACATGTTGGCCATTTAAGGTTGTCCACTAAAATATCAGAGATATAACGCACTTTGTTCGATTTTTGCTTTGTTACTTCTAAACAGCAATGTAAAATGTTTGACATTTTACCTCATTCACTGCTGGAATGATAACTAGGGGTGGAATACATCAGCTAACTAATGTTGCATAAAACAAGAATCCTGTAAAATGACTATAGCCAAGCTACGATTGATTTAATTGCATATGCACTAAAGAGGAGGATCGCCCAAATAATAGGAGATTGTTAACAGAGGACGATAAAGTATTCTGCTGCATTTACTGAGGTCACGTTATTTTGCGTCTTTCATTTTTGCGGGGAAAATTCTCCGCCTCTGAAAAGGAGGCGGAATCACAGCGCAGACGGGATTCACAAGAGCCATAAGGGAAGGCTGTAGTGGTGAAATGATTACAGTTAAAGGAATACTTTACACTTAAAATTACCATTTGTATATCAATTTCTAACTCTGTTACCTTGAATTCATGTATAAAACGTTTTGCTTGCATGCCTCCACAATGAACGGGGAATCAAAACATCCTTTAACAAACTCTCACACAACTCGTGCAGAATGATCCAAGTCTCATTTATCCAGAAAGTACTGAGTACATGACCGGATAAATGAGACTTGGATTACACTGCATGAGTTGTGTGAGAGTAATTAAACGGATGTTTTGATGTATAGTGTATAGTTTTGCTGTTGGTCTGCATTTTCCCCAATTCCTCAAGGATTAACTCTGCACACAAGAAGAAAAATCCGTGAGTGTGACACCATTTTCAACATAAACCAAACAGGGACACACTTCACTATGTAAAGTTTCTCCAATTTGAAACCATTCTCACGACACTGTAGAGCTGGCAAACGTCACATCTTTTCCACACGGGTGTTGAGGTTGAGTGGAGCTTGCTGAGGTTACTAAACTCCCTTTATGATTCAAAAGAATCCTAAACGTGAAAGTCGTCCTAATAGTGGTACTGTTCAGACTGAATGCAAATTAAGGAGTGGGTTCGAATCGAATAATTTCATTTGCATGAATTTGAGAGGAAAATGTGTACTTTTCCCAAAGCTTTATGATTCCAATTGTGTATATAGATATATATATATATATATATACACACACAAAGTTAAGAAAAGGAGGAAAGTAACAACTGGAGTTCCTGGCAAGGTTTGAACTGAGTTTAACCCAACACAGAAAACTCCAAGTGTAAATTCACAGACATGTCAGTCAAGCACAGTCTGAACACGCCCACACAGTCCTGAGAAGACTTCTAATCAGGAGGCAAATGAGAACAGCTGTGTGGGTGGACCCTGGCTGTATAGGGCAATATGCAGGATTGTTCCCATCAATGGCAAATAATTGCTAAAAATAAAACTGGTCACATATTGACCTGCTGTTACAATTGGCTACGCAGAACTTCCAGTGTGTCCCACTGCTACCTTTTTGTGTCCGCAAAAAATACTAATTTCTAAGGGAGAAAATTGCATATTCCTTTTCTCTCTGGTGAATTATTTTAATTGTTACTACCTACAGTCTAACCATTGTTATTGCTTGCACATAATTGTAATAATGGTACACCTATTGCCTTAGCGAGATCGTCGGTGGAGGCAGAGCACTTAACTCGCTGTGCGAGCTAAATGAATGAGGTAAACAGCAGGATGCCAAAACTGTGTCTCCCTTCCTTACTCAGTCTGTTTAGTGCCGCAGTAGGAAAGAGAGCGTTACGGATTGAAGAAGCTGATTGTCTTCTGGCACATGTATCAAAACGACTGTGAGAGTCATACTGGCTTGTATGTAGTGGGGAAAGAAATATGAAAGTTGGAAATACATGTAATATTCTGCGACTTTTTTCGCCCCCACAAAGCAGCAGTTGGCAAACTCGCATGATTGGGACCCCAATTTGAAAATGAAGGATTTACAGCTCAAACAATTTGCCACGTAAGTGCACAAACAAAGTTTTGAATTTTTCCACTCAAGTTTTTTATATGTATATCACTTCCTGTGTGGAGAGATGATTTCCTGCCTGGGATATTCCTCTTTTGCAGCATGATTCAGGCTGAAGAATGATCAAGTGCTGCTGTAAAACTAACTAGAAAACGGGGTTTAAGGAAATTTTTTAGACCTAATTTGTGAATGGAGCCTGACATGACAGGACGGTCCAAAACAGGGTTAAGGAATTGAATGGCTTTCTGAGGCACTTCCACCCTGGAGGACACAGAATCACAACGCTGAATAACTCCAGCAGCTTTGAAGCTCAGACATATTCCATATTCTCTCTCAACCGCTGTCTCTCACCCTCACACACACACACACACACACACACACACACACACACACACACACACACACACACAACTTTCAAACGCTCACACTGAATGGTGAGGGAGCAGTCAGGGGATCATTGATCTTGTACAATACTTGGATCCCACATATCTTTATAGTTCACTTAGGCTGCAGCCAATAAAGAGTGTGTTCAATGTTTTACATTAACATCCATTTATCCAATTAGGGAGTAAAATATTACAAAAGACTATAATAATCTCATTGGAACGGGAGAATTACATTTCCTCACTTAATCAGTGTCTGTAAAATGTAGTAGATTTGTCATTCTAACTGCAATAATAATATATTTGCAATGTGGCTACAAATAAGGTGAGAGTAGTTTTGAATTCACCACTTTTTTGGTTACATTGAATTGCAGAAACATACAGCGATCGTTGAGTGGTGTCACCGAGTGCTCCTTATTTCGACAAAAAGCCTACAGCCATGCTAGCGGCTCTGTGAGCAGGTACTTTGGCAAAGCTACACTCTGAGCTAAATGCTAATGCCAGCACGCCACCATGCTCACACTGACGATGCTAACATGATGTTCAGCAGGTATAATGTTTTCAATGATCACCATCTTGGTTTAACATCTCAGCATGCTAATGCTTTTGCAAATTGGCACGAGCAAACGATGTACAGCTAAGGCTGATGGATACGTCATTAGTTTTGCAGGTATTTGGTCATAAACCAAAGTGCTGGAGAAGCTGCCCCCTGTCGGTAGGGGCTGGTAAGTGCCGCTCGTTAACCCCGGTGTGCGTTTGGCTATTAACCAACAGCTAAAGGAACTGTACACACGCTGCTGTAACTCTCCGCAACTCAGCCGCTGCTAAGCGGGCAGACAGCTTGGTGAGTTTCATTTTTTTATTTTCTTGCTTGTTTTTGAGTTTGAATGAAGTGTGTTTTACACACCTTACCATTGGTGTCTAGACGGGGGATAGTCAATTGTGGGTTGTATTCATTCAATCACACACTCACTGAAGACACACCTGTTGGAGATCTGCACTGTACTGAGTACACCCTTCTAGCTACTATTGATCCTGAGGGAAAATGTAATGCATGTACCAAATTGCTGAAAAATTCCTTTCAAAGCAAAAAATGTTAACCTCATGGTTCTCCATTTTAGTAATAATAAAAGAGCAAGGACAACCTTGTGAATCAGAATGTTGATCAATCTGAAACCAGCCTTAACTTCAGGGACTGTTCAAAAATCTGTAAAAATGTGTTTATAATGACTTCTGGTAATTGGAGCCAGTCCAACCAACATGATGATATCCAGATATGGTTTAAAGGTGTCCTGTCCCGTTCAATAGACGCCTATCGTCATAACAGTGACGTGAAACATGCATAAATGTCATTGGGTTGGACAGAGCTCTCATTGTCACAGATGTATTCATGGCGACAACACGGAATAAGGAGACACTACAGAAGAAAACACTTAAAAAGGAGAGAACAAACAGGCCTATTTTATATTTGTTTCAAGGCCACACTGAAAACTAACAGCTCCTCTCAACAATGAAGCAATGAAGGGTGTAGCAGAAAGAACTGCATTAGTGTACAAAGACTGACAATTCACTGAATAAAATACTAAATTCAATCAACTGAAAATACAAAAAATTTGACTGAAGAATCATTTTGCCTGTTTTTGGGTCACACGCCCAACGACACCGAGCAAAGCAACAGACATGCTTAAAATCTGTAACAGGGGAGCTTAAAAGTAGAATCAATTTGCAGTGTGCAATGGCAACGTAGAAACCATGACCTTGAATCTTTAAACTGTCACTTAACTGTTGGGAATGTCTAGATTGTAGCTACAACTATTGAGTATTGCTATAAAGTGTTTCAAAATCTTAATCTCTTTAAATGTTTTTCCCTAAACCGCAAAAGCTTAAAGCAGCGTACATTTTCTTGGCCACCTGGGGGCAGCAAAAACAATCTGAAAACACCACCATGGACATATTATCCCCGTGTAAAGTTGTATGTTGATTGTGTTACACACCAACTGTTTATTTACCTACTCAGCAGACATCGAGCAAAGACTCGTCAGTCCAATAATCATGCTCTGGTTTTGCCAATATCCTGCTCATTAGCATCTAGATGTCCAATTTTCTCCACTAGATAATCACAAACTTGTCTTGCACAATTGTCATTTCTTCCATTGTTAATGCAAACATATTGATTAGTGGAGCTTTAAAGGACCTTTATTGGACAGCAATCACAAGTGACAAGAGTTGATTTATTAGTAGACGTTATCATTAGGTGCATGGATGATAAAGGAGCAATATATACGGCATTCAGAGGATTAATATAAAGTATCATCAAACAACTATTTTCTATGAGCCACCGACTCAGGTGTCGTCCTGTTGAGAGCTGTTCAGAGGCGATCGAAATCGAAACCCCGACAGAGGACGCCAGGCAGACACACAGCTGACAACCTCGCGGCTAAACCAATTGATGCTGTGGAGACTTACTGTGGAGAGCGGCGCATGTGTCCACCACGGTGTACAAAACGTCATGGCTGCTAACTCATTGGACTCAGACGCCTGCTTTGAGCATACACTGCAGCTGGTGGTAAATGATGGATTTAACCTGTTTGTGCTTCGGATATTGTTGCAGCTGGGTGGCTTATAAGCAGCTCAACAACAACAACAACACACCTGCATGCAACGCACTGAACTTGTCGGTTAGCGGTTGATGATCGATTAAAAGTGTCAGCTATCGGTCACCTGATCAAGTGGAATGAGACCATGAACAGGAAACAACAAATATATGTCTCCTTGTGAGGTACAGTGTGTTTGTCCCTTGTTTTGTTCCGTTTTGTGACAAAACCACTGAAATGTTTATCCGTGACAAACCAAAGCAATGTTTTTTTTTTTCTTTCAAACTTACAGGTTAGTCTCACTTCAATAAATGTTTTGTATTATATTTTTTATGTGATTAGATGTTTAAACACACGTGTAGTCCTGGGTGTTTTGTTTGTTGTCTTTTCTGCTTTGATGTTTGTGAAATTTCTGTGTTAAATTTCGATCATTTCCAAATGTTCACAAACCTTTCTCACATCTGATTGTAATGACATTACAAAAAATGCTGATTTAATGTATCAGCATAATTTCCACTTAATGCACTCAGTTAAGATAATCTTTTTGAGTTACAATTTCATGACAAACTATCATAACATCTTTCCAGAAAGGGCATGCGTTCATAGAAATCATTTTACTTTTGTTGTGGTTCAGCAAGTAAAGTTGCGTAACACCAATGAGTCAGATTTAAATACCTAAGGAAACAATAGACTCTAAGAGAAGCTGTGAATGAAAACTGTTAAAATGATAACTGTAGCGCTTAATCCTCCATAAGTATAGTTTAGCAGTTGTGAGTAAATAGATGGAAGGGCTCTTTGGAATATATAGAAGGATGTGTGTCTGAATGTAGGAGGGCTCTGTGGAAGTGAACACTGGATGATATAGATGCAGAGACAGACAGAAATATTGACTGAGTTAGACTGTGAGTGTGTGTCTGGGGAATGGAGAATATGAGTAGGCGTGGGAAGGAGGAGGGGGATTGCTTTGTGTGCTCGATATCACGCTCCGTCAAAAGCTGTAATATCTCTTCCATTTCATTAGTTGCTACATGAATAGACTTGACAGCAATCAGCGCCCGTCCGGCTGATTGAAAGAGAAGTGCCTCAGCATCAGAGAACATCACGGAGCATCATGGAACGAGATTGCAGTTTGTAGGCACAAATTTGTACAATGTTAATCTGGAAAATGGGAAAATGAACCACAGCCTGGCTTATATCCAAAATGTGTAACATATATACGACAGCAATACTCTGTGTTATCAGTGGCAGGGATTTACAAGTGTTTTCAAAAAGCATGCAATACATTTTTACAAAGATGAATACATTTTCCCACCTTTCAACATGGACATGAACGCACCAAACAGCATGAATTTGTTCACATTCTCAAACATATCACTATGCATTGATAATATAACTCCGCTTGTTGTTCACTGTGATAGATCAGTTATCCTGTGCATGGTTTCATACCAGGTGAATACAATTGGAAGCCAAAAGGCTGCTAGCAGGGTACGAAAATAAATAAAGTTTATGTCCACTGTAATTCTTTTCTTTAAGATGCTCAAAATGCATCCACACCGCTGGGACCAGAGTACCAGGATGGGTTCATTCTTCATAAATGTTTACTGGGGAGATGCACGGAGCCCAAGTCCATTTGAGTGAGGAAGTGAGCAGTAATATTACATTTCTTTTTTGTTTTGTTTTTGCAGCAGCGGATCCTTACCAGAGTTGACAGTGCCGTCTTTGTTGATGGAGGCCAGGACACAGGGAAGTGGAACAGTAGCTTTCTGTTGAACCCTGTCACTGGTCAGTAGTTTGAGCTGCTGCGATGTGACTGGTGGAAAGCGATAGAACTGGAAGGTGAAGTAGATGTTTTCAGGCCAGTCGGGACCAACGCCTGCCGCTGGTATTCTGGCAAAAGACAGACAGAGGTGGATGATTATTCAGAAAAAAAGTGATCGCTCATGCTGCAATATTTGAAAGAAATATAGCGACGCTGCATGTAACTAAATGAAAAGGTGATTGAGTCACTACCCCGAATATGATCAATTTAACACGAACTGGTGTGGTATGCATATTTGAAAATTGATGGTTAAAAATGTCATTAAAAACCTGGAAGGGTAAATCACATTTTTGAGCTTTTGATTTACCTCAGACAATTCTAGCAAAGAGAAAAAATCAAATATGCATGTCTTGCACGTCCTCCCAGAGCCTGTAACTCAGCTTTACAGCTACGTAAAAAGCCAATAATAAAAATGAGTATTAGAACTTCAGGTGGTAAATCACACCTTTAAAATTGGCTCTAAATTAGACTGCTGATCGAGTGGGTACAAACTCAGCTCTATACTTTTGATATATTATAAGTGGATAGCTTGGCTCCTTCTTAAAACTTAAGGCAGCATGAAAACTAGTAATTAGATCTGTGGAGGACAGGAAGTCTCGTCTGTTTGTGTCCAAAAAAAAAGTGTACAAATGTGGTTGTATTCTGTTAACACAAAGGGAATCATTGTATGTAGTTTGTGTTCGCTAGGACTCCTATGGAGACATAAAAAAAGTCTTTCTCACTCAGAGAAGCTCCTGGTGTTGTGTATCCCTTTTCACACAAACACCACCCTCTGAGTGCGATTTCACACACACGTACAAAGATCTAAACACACACTTGAAACTGCTGATGGCCCACAAAAAGTCCCGGTGAGCCTGCAATCGCTCGATTTAGCAACGAGCATATTAAATAATGAGCGGGTTTCAGGATGAGCCTCTCTCTCCGTTTCCGTCTGATGAACAGATTAGCAATCAGTCATCGGTTATTCAATAATGAGGAGAAAAGATGAAGGCACTTGTAAACAAGCAGGGAGTGCTGGGAGCCCCCCCGCGTTCACGGAAGTGCCGTCAGAGCCGGAGATTTCAAAGTGGAGGAGCGGCGTGTGACCTCCCAGTCGATCACTTGCCGTGGAATTCCACTGTTTAAGAAGCTGCCGTGCTCCATCTTCACAGAGGAGCCGGCATTAATATTAATTCTGTAAACAGACAATATTGATAATTATGGCGCCCCGGGTGAGAGGTAGAAATTACGCTGCCTATGCAGAGGCTCCCCGCTTGCTAAGCACTGCCGCTGCCGCCGTCTACATCCCCGCCTGCCATACCCGTTTGTCATAATTATGAGGCAAACCTCGACCCTCTCTACAGGGAGCCACGGAGATATGCGATGTATGTTCGAGTATGTGGTTCCAGGTTGCAAAAACAGAAGAATCAAATAAGCTTTGATAGCTTCACAAACAAATTAAAGAAAATATCCATACTTTTGGATATTGAAAGTCTGCTTTGTCTCACTGTCTCCAACTGATAAGTGTTTCAACTTACCCAGGGGCTTATATCAATCCTGCAAACAAAGTCGATCTATTCACACGTGATATTGAGAACAGCATTATGCACCACATGTAACTGCGTTGAGGTTGGTACACAGGAAGTCACGGCAGCATGATGGCGGGTGTATGATGAACGAGACGGATGCGAGTTGGGTTTATCAAACCGCTGACGGTGCTGATGACAAGATGTAAAGGACACAAAGAGCGGTGTGTTTTGTACTCATCCTTCAGCGGGCCCTCTCTACTGTCAGCCCCTGACAGAGGGAACACTAGCTCCAGGGTTTTTGAGATGGGCCGCTGACAGAGGAGCAATTCAGCCCGTGCTGACGGGAAATGTGTTTATGTTTTTTTTTTTCTTCAAGCGTACGTCTGTGTACGTATATGTACTTGAAATGTGTGGAGAGGCTGACTGGCAGGACTTTATGCCTGCATGCTTTAAGTGCATTGATGTTTTGGCTTCAGTTCAATACAAAAAAAAAAAAAAGAAAAGACATCTGAAGGCAGGCGGGGTGTTGTCGTGCATTAAGGAAGTACCTGCTCTTGTATACAGTGAAATGGCCGGCAGCTCAGAGTGCAGTAAGATGCAAATCAATGACTGTATTAACAATAATTCTGACATTTCTGAAAACTAAATTGTTGCATTTACGGTAATATTTAAAGTATAAAATCACACCTGATCTATCATGGACTAAATGTATACTGATCTCTATGACAACAGCAACAGCTGCTTTCAGTCAAAAGTAACAGCCTCATGTGACCCGGCACTGCAGGCCTCACCTGGTAAACGCCAGAAACTGGAACACCAGCACGTTGCCCTGAAGAGGGTCAGTCTCTTCACGCTGAGGGTCAAAGGGCACCGGCTCTGTGGGGTCCAGGACTTCCGCCGCCTGCCCGGCACAGTCCACGATGTCGGGGAAGCCAGCGGAGTAGAGGTGGGCCAGCGAGCTTCTGGAGCTGACCGAGCAGGAACTGAGAGGAGATGGGTTAAATCAGTGGAGGGCTCCAGAATCATGAGCGCACATCGATCATTCGCCGAGCTAAACAGACTCCAGCAAATGCCGTAATGCAGCAGGAGGTAATGTGTTTAGCCCGTGATGCACCGGTCTCACTTGGGTGATTTGTGGTTGTAAATGAGGCAGAATTTTTTGGGGGGATCTGAGCAATACCGGGCTGTTTTATCACTTCAGACCCAGATTAGCTCGGATCTGTTCCATTTTGACTCCAGATGTTTACCTTTTGGGAGATAACTTGAAACTGAATTTGAATATCCCGCCTGACTTCACAAAAATGCAGTGAAACAATGATCACACGGCATGAGGATGTCAGCAATATCTGTCAAGCAGCGGCACCACGAGAACGCTTACAGGGGAGAGAGAACGGGTGCCAAAGCGCTCCCTCAGGATTTTCAAACATAATTGGCAGTTATCTCTAATCATAGTGGCCACCTGTTTTTCCGCAACTATGGTAACATTCATAACTTATACTTTCAGCGCTGACACCCAAACACTCTGGGTATGATAAACACAGTGCACAGATGGCTGGCTAAAGTGCAAGCACAGGAAAATGAAGGATAATGTTTGGGCTTATCAGAGCAGTAATGCTGCCTGAGTCCAGTTGGTAAACAGTCAAGCCCACGGCTTCACATTTTGTGACAGAACGACGCCTTGATCAAACTAATGACGGCAACAACAGTGAAGAAGACAGTCGATTGGGTTTTCCTCTGCGGCTGTGTCAATGTCATGCTTTCAAAGTTATATCTTAAATTACCCCAAGTGGATTAATATTCAAGCCATCATTTTTTATTTTTTTTATTTCAAAGGGGGCTCAATCAGATATGCGTGGCAGCTTCAATTAAACTTCTTTAAGACGTCATTGTTCTTCTCAAAGAAGTGGGTCATTCCACCCCGAACACAGTCAAAAAGATGTTTTGGCTCCGAGTGAAGCGGCAGAGATGCTTCAGCCCACTGAACTGAACAGCATCGTGTCTGGATCCAAACTCTGGGATTGGGAAAGTGTTTCGATGCCAGCTGCTTATTTACAGACACTGTGATAATGCCAGGCCTTCTTTCTGAGTTACTGTGCCCATTATTTGCAGGGTGCACTTTCTCATTCGGTGTCCCACCTCAACAGACCTGGCTGCTTTAAGATATCCTCTCTCGAAAATTCGCTGCAATGTAGATTGTGAGCTCGTTGCATTGCATTCTGGGACACCAAATCAAAGTCAAAACCTCTTCCTTACAGCTGGATTTAACAATGGATTTCCACACAAACAAACAAACATCGCCGACACCATTACCTAAAGTGGGACGTAAAGGCTGACAAAACGATTTTTTAATTGGCTGTGAGCTGCATTCTCCTGCTTGCTGTCAACTCCGCTATACTACGCAGTGGAACACATGCTGCCAATTAGTGAGCCGATCGATATCCCTCTGTAGATAGCGAGGCGGTGAACTATTGTGGTAATGAAGGACTGTAGTGGTGTTCACACAGAGATACTGGGCCAGATAAAACAGTAGCATGTTGAAAGAGGCTTCCTTCAATGATGTCTCCTATCGAACATGAGTAATACTCATGTCACCCTCTCGTGCTGCCATTTAGAAGTTAGCCACACCAGAAACTGGACCATAGAAAATACAACAGCATGTATTAATCTAAAAGAGTCAGGAGGCCAAATCATAGTTTCATATATCTGGAATAAACTAGAACGTCCTTTTTACACTAATGTGTTAAACACCAATTCAGTTCCAATCCAGTGGATTTTCAAGGCGACGCGTCATAAGCATCTATCGGTTAACTGGCCAGTGCTTACCGTTCCCACAAATAACAGCTGCCGTCTTTATTGCCATCCATATCAAACAGCTGATGATCACCAACATACATGAAGAGGTATTCCGCTCACTTCTCAGACAGGATCAGGGATAGCTTTGGGTTTCAAAGGGCAGAATGATCCCCATACCGGATTTAGTTCAGCTTATGTGAATAACTAACCTTAACATGATTCGGGAAGCAAAGGGGGAGAGCATGAAAAACGATGCCACAAAGGAAATCATGTCCAGCATGTGCTATGAAGGCTGTCCTACGTACTCTTGGAGTAAAAAGCCAATAAGATCAAACACAAGCCATCGCATAACATTTTTTTTAAAGGTTTCAGACACTTCAAGATACTTCAACTGGCTTTTAACCCCAATTGTATTTGTTCATGACAGCTTCAAACAAAAACTGTCATAGAGGCTTTTATTGTGTAAAAACCCTTTGACTTTCTACAACAGATCCTTTCCCATGTCTGAAGAAGACAACAGAGGGGGCTCACCTGGGCATATTCATCCCCAGTGTGATGACAGGGGCATGGACAGGGGTGAAGGGCAGCTCCTGAAGTTGGTCTCCTTCGTCCTGAGCTGACGGTGACACATCCCCTCCCCGATGAAGGTCCATCTCCAGGTGGGCAATGTTGCTGGCACCTGAGCAGGCCTGTACCAAAGTGGGCCGATACAGATACAGCAGGTGATTCGAAAACAGCTAAAGATAACAAATTATTTTCAGTTAAAAATCTATGAAAAGGCCAGGAAAGCTCAAGCGAAGGCGTCTGCAGATCAGGCTGACTTTATCGTGTATGAGACGCAAATAGTTAACTAAAAAAGTGAGAGGAAAAGCCAAGTACAACAACATGAAATGCCTGCACTGTAGTACACTTACGGGCAGAAAGGAATCCAAAAAAGGACTTCACTAATTGGCAGCCGGATGCACGGAAATGACATGCAGTAGAGCTATTGGTGGAGTTGTCAGAATTGATCATGGATTTGGCCTTATACTCTAACTGCTCCTACCCCATGCTTACAATAGCGTTACACTTCTTCAATACACAGAGGTCATATACCTGTTCTACATTCTTGTGAATGCCTGCATAAAAGAGCCTTGTCCATCAATGTACACACCCGTTTCCTCTTAGTGGTCAGTAATGTAATGTAGTGCTCCACTTAGTATTGCAGCATCATCATCATAGCAAATGATCACGATGTGAGTCAGTGTTTAAAGCAGCAGGAGGCAACTCTTCTTGATTATAATTAATTGGGACAAACTGTAAATCGACATGTTCTGGAGCTAAAAACGAACAGGATGACGTGTGAATCTCAGAAACTGTGCTCTGCTGTTCTTTAAAGTGACGTGTGTGGAAAACCATGAGACGTCGGAGGGCAGAAGGTGTGACTTTGTCTTATCAATCACTCCCCACAAGCTGCCTTTCCAGTTATGAAATCATTAATTACAGTACGTTTGGTTTGAATGTTGAGATGCAGCTCTCGGCAAGTTGCTTTTGTGTTGAACTGTTTTATTGCTGCTGTTTTAGAACACTGGATTTTCTCCCTTGTTTTCTGCAAAGACCTCTATGACACACCTATTTGTTAAAAATGCTCTATAAATAAACTTGACATGAAGACAATGCATCGCTGAGAGAAATTGGTATGGTGTGCCAATGCAATTTCTCAAGCTAAGGAAGGAGGGAATATGTGGGATAGATTATAAAGAGATGAGTCAGCTCAGATATTGCAACATAAAGAACAAAAGATAAAAGGCATGCAACTCCAAATCAGGCTTTTATGAAATGCACATCACTGTGCTATTTGTATTCTATATATTGTTGTTAGCAATGCGCACCAAAACACCGAAACCAACAAAGTGTTCGTCCATCTCTCAGTACTTCCATTCCCTTCTCTGCCTGTTGGCCCAAGCCCATTAGTTCCTAGTGAAGATGCAAATCTTAAAAAGTCAGAAATACCTAGTTTAAAACAGCTGGGCACCGTAGTTTTTAGAAATGATTCCTCAAACAGGATTAATAGTGTATTTGTTGGGGACTATTGTTAGTCGTGAGTATTCATGTTAGCAGGACGGTGTATGTAGAGTTGACTCAAAATAAACTACGGCACCCATGTTTTATTGTCATGAAGGAAAATATCACCCAGTGCAACGGTAGGTTTCATCAACACATTGTCAAATGTGGTCAGTGACTCTGAGCTTCAAACTATGACACTCTATGTACCTCCTCTAGCGTCAGCTTTGTTGGTGACGGCTTGTCAATATACACTCATTAAAGCAAAGTGTCTTTTCAAAATAAACTGCCGTCTTCATAGGAAGTTGGGTTCAGGCAACAAAACCACTTAGTGAGGGTTAAGTAAAGAGTGTGATTGAAGTTACCTTGACTAATAACTCACGTGAGTCATTTGACTAACGACACTGACGACTAACATGACACTAACAGCGGTCTGCTGGACAAAAGGCCTATGTTTGTTTGACCCATCTGCCTCCACCCCCACCTGCCTTGTGTGGACGGCCAGTCAGTTGCTCCGCTCATAATTAAAAGCTATTTGACGCTTTGGGAACTAAAACGACGATAGCGAGAATAACAGAAATCTAGTTTTGGATGCAAATACAACACGTATTAGTGGGATCAATCAATTGTTGGTTTTTGGTTATGGGGTTTGTTGACAGTAAGAAAAAAAATTGCCCTTGTCCTTTAGAAATAACATAAACATCTTTGGTAGCGATAATGAATATTTACTTGGGATTGAAAGGAGCTTTTCTTTCAAGGACATTCCTGTTTTCCCAAAATTAGTACCAAATTACATAATGCTTTATAGGAAACTTTCAAGGATCCATAAAGTAAAGTGTTACCTTCTTTTTTGTGTGTGTGTGTGTGTGTGTGTGTGTGTGTGTGTGTGTGTGTGTGTGAAGAAGACATTTGTGTGCCTTCCTGCTTTGAGAATGAGCTCAACTGTGGTAGCTTTTAATTTGCCCAAAGTGCCAATGACAGTCTATTTCTCATTTTAATTTAAGTAAAATTAAACAGGACGGAATTAATAACACCATTGTGATGAGTTAAATGCCAACAGCATATTGTTTATGTTTTAACTTTGAGGCAGCCTTGCATTTAATCTGCAATTCTGTTGCTGACGTTCTTTTGTTCAGCTTGTGATTTTTCCTTCTTTCTCCTTCACAATATCAGCTTCTTAGGAAAAGAAAAATAACTGTTAATGCCTGTGGATCAATTCAATAATGATTTCTAAATGTTTTATGGGAAACATTAATCCCTTCTTCTCGTCAGTGACACACACACACTCACACACAGCTGGAGGGGTATTAGCCCCGATAATTAGCTAATGGTGTCATTTTCCAGTCAAGTGTTTTTTCTGGTCTTTGATACATGTGCATGGTTCAGTTGGCCTATCAGAGGACATGCATGGCCGTGCATCATTGGGCTTCCCATCAAGCATGCTGGGAATACTAATAACCTCGACCAAAGTCATGCAGCAACAAACACATCATCATGTTCCCCTCTGATCCATCAGCCTGCGGTAGAATAACCTCAGAGGATGCAAAGGCATGGTGTAGAACCCTTAGCATGTTTAAAAGGCTCAAAGTAATGGTTGTATACTGTACCTCAACCTGCTGCTATAAAGCCTACGCTGTGTGACGACATATGAGTAACTGCTTTTTAGGCTGTTGAGGTTATGGACAAGGACAAATGGAGCCTCAAACAGTAAAATCTGCAAGCTGATTGAATGACTCAATATATGCACAAAGAATGCAACAAAAACTCGAGTATCATAAATGATAATTAATGGCAGCCAGGGGACAAGTGATATAATGCATCATACTCATCCACTGCTTTGGTGTTGACAGTGTTCTTCAATTTCCAATAAAGCATTATGCAGTATCAGCTGCAGAGTTTGAAATATGCAACATGTTTATAAATAAGCGAGTTTATGTAACTATTGAAAGAAGAAATACTGCATTCATTTGTATATCGATGAAAACATCATCCTCAATTCAATACACTAAGGGGTTTTGGAGCTCCAGCCTGATTTGGTCTGGTTTGACCAGTAGCTGAAGGCAGCTAACGTTAGTTAACGTTAGCAAACTTTAGATAAATGTTACTTTGTAACTGATATTACTGAGTCAGTTCTCTGCTTGAGCTACTATTTACCATCTCGCCACAATTTCCACTTGTGAAAACTGTTCAGCAAATATTATATCGGCTCACTTCAACACTAATAACCTGTGTTTCCATTCAAACATTAGAAGAGCTGTACGGAAACAGCAGAATTGGAAAAAAAACGTTCTCAACTGTGCAAAACAGTTTTTAGGCATGAGGTGGTTTTTGCCTTTGGTCAAACAAGAGTTGATGCACTAAATGGGATATGGTTCCTGCTGTCGGCATCTTCCCGGGAATCTGGCCAATATTAGCTGACAAGGTTGAACAATTCAAACTTGCCCAATCAAATCAAACGATACACCAAGTAACTTCTGTCTGTGTGTTGGTATCGGCTAAGTGTATTTCCCCCATCTTGCAGGATTTGGGTGCGATTTTCTTTTGAAGCTGAGTCTAGTCACTCCTAATCTCCATAAACAGATTCTGCATTCATAGGCAACGGTACAATTTTGGTATTGGAAGCATACTGGTTTCGGTTTGTTCGAGCAGTCTTTTGTTGAATGCAGGTAAACAGTCTGTGTGGAGAGCAAAAGAGGCAGAATGCATTGGTTGAAATGGGATTTCAGAACCTACCATCTATCATCTGACGATGATTTACAATTTTATTGGTTTAAAATGAGCTTGTGAACTGGCCACTTTTGAAACGATCCAGTCGTACACATTGTCTCTCAAATCTAACTCCAGTCTTCCATCTCAAGTTGCTAATCGGACTGTAAACAATAAGCAGCGCACGGAAAAGGAAGTCCTGGCCCGGATATCCCAGAAATATAGCCAAAGGCTTATCTGTCGTCAGACTGATAGCCGACGGGATCCGAGATTTATTCGCTCCAAACCAACTGAACTAATGAATTTGATTTCCCGAGCTCTTGGTTTATAATATCTACATATCCCTTACGGCTAATCATAACTACTGAATGTCAGTATTTCACTTTATGGTGGATTATTGATCCCAAAATGTGTCATCTACAAGTGAACATGCTGTTCCTGGCTAACAGACAGATTCATAACTATCTTGGCAAAACAGACCAGTATTTCACCCTCTCACCCAACATGAGGGATAAAAAGATGTGAAAAAACAGGCAAGCAGATGACTAGAAGCATTACTGCCCTTTATGAAATAACACATTATGCTAACTTTGACAGCAGCAGCGCTATAAATAATTGGTGAATCAGAACAAAAACCCCAGTGCAGTAGTCCAAATATTAATTTTAAAATTATTACAAAGAATTGTATTACAATACATTATTACAATACAAGTAATTCCAGGCTAAATTAAACTTGACAAATCTAAGGCTGCAATATTATCTTGGGAGTGCCGCAAAGAAGTAAGGACATTAGTTAACGTTGAGTCAGTTTCACATTTAACACTCCATATCTGATCAACTTGTGGTGTATGTGCCAAATAGATCTCTTCATGAGGACAAACTGATGTGACAGTGTGTTGCCGCCATATATGGATGATTATTTCACTTGAATGTGTGTCATGTTATATGGTATCACAAATGTGCACTGCTGGGAATTCAACCTCAAACGCTACAGGACAGAGTTCTTTTGACGACGAGTGTAGTTATCTAGATGTATACGAATAGGTAAGTTATTCTGACAGTATTTCCACAGCACGGCCTAGCCAGTCTTTTAAAACCCAAATTGAATTGTGTCTTTTTTTAGCCATTTGTATGTCTGATTATATTGTAAGCCTGAACCACAGTTCCTGGATTATTCCTGCAATATGATTCATTGCTTAAGCTATATGGATTTCAGGCATGAAATATGGGAGAAAACCCATTAAAGCTACTGCTGTCTAGTTAGAATATGAGCAAAGTCCTTCTGAGCTGTGCTGAGGCGTAAAAGAAGGTGGAATGGGTTAGCTCTGAAAAAAAAGCCTCCCAATCGACTGTGACAACAAATAGGAACGAAGAGAACTTAATGCAGAGAAGAAATGAGACATTGATTTACTGTATCGACATGTAATGCTCCCCATTATCTGTTTAACTCCTGGATGAACTACGGTAACTGAATTACTAAAACTACAACATCAAATCCGAGAAAATGTAGTGAAGTGAAAAAACGCTGTTCCTTCAGAATAAAAGGTGAAGCACGGCAAAAAATAAATAAGTTAGACAATATATCCGTTTAGTTTACGTGTATCCTCGCGTGCTATAAAGGTGAATGTCTTTGAACTGTAGTGAGTGACTGTCTGCATATCCTCGGGGATGCATATCCAATGTTGTGTGTTTAAGCGTTGCTGTGTTTGAATGTGTAAATGCACCTTTCGACTTCCTTTTGCTTGTGTATTTTTCTCCTCAGTTTGAACGTGAGTGAGCACAAGGCCGTGTGAGCGTACGGGGGTGGGAATCTCACCACATGTGACAGCTGGTGGGCCGACGCCAACAGGGAAGGATGGAGCAGAGAAGGAAACGACTGTTGCCACGGCAACGCCGAGCTTGAGTGGCTGATGGTCGGGTAGCGTGAAGTAGCTGCCAGCTGAGACAGCGAGAGCTGCAGAGAAACAATGCAAATGATTCATTGTTATTATTATGATTATGAACAACAGGGATCAGGAATATACTTTACGCCAGGGAGGCACGTGTGCCGTCTCAGACAACAACGGACCATTACGCTGCTTTGGCACTTATCACACCACCCGCTCCTCCACCCAACATCCTTCAACACTGTCATCCCCCCAGCAGGTTAGAATCCTGAATAGTTTGTCTGCTCCCTCTTTTCTTCTGAAGGCTTTTGACTGGAAACCAAAGACAATGTACTAATGTAAGAGTGACCCAAAACAACATATGTTTAACAAGTAGTCGATAAGTCAAGAGCAAAGGAGGAAGTAAGATGGATGGATGGATCCACAATGCATCGGACTTAAACATCGCAAAACACTTTTGTATTTTCTCTTTCAACGTTGTTTTTTTTTTTAACTATAACCATGATCGTGAACCACATATTTATTATTGTAACCATGACAGTCGAGGTCCGTCAGCATAAACAAATTCATTTTCACAGCAGTGATTTGTAATGGTTTATAAGGCACAGACAAATGATGTCGTGTCGTCAGGGGCCTCAGATTGCTTCCGTCGTTCTACGGAGCATTTACAAACAACGTTGTTGTTTCATTTGAGGCACATGTTGAGATTTTAAATCTTAAATTAGATAAAGCATTTATATTGAATTTCTTCACAAGCATATTTTTTTAATGGCGAAGGCTCCCTGATTTCTGATTTGCTACCATTTGAATTAGCTTTTGATGGTGTTCGTTGTAAATGTGACCTCTTCACTTCCTCCATGTTTATCTGCAGATACATTCGAGATGTGTTTCAACTGTTTACTTCTGTATCATCTGCTGTCGCTCTCTCTCTTTTGTCTCTCGTCATCTGTCTGCCTGTCTGTCTCTTTCTCTCTCCACAGTTACTTGTAACATTGGGTGCACATGGAGTTTTCATTAATAGTAAAATGAATTGTTCACTCATGCTTTGAGTCTCTCTTATTAACTGAAACATTGTTTTTTTCACGAATTCTGCTTTGCTGTTCTTTTGGCAGCAGATATTTCACATAAAAGCTGAGGATGGTCATGGTCAGATAGCAAGATTTAAAAACATCATCCAACCGGAAATCCCAGCCCAGTGTCCCTTACTCTTTTCCAATGAAAGAAGCATTACTAGCGTTAGAAATCCCCAAATCTAGCAAGAAAGTCACCAAGCTTTTTAGTCAGAGCTTTTGATTTATTGATTCCTGTCGTGATGTTGAAATAATTTTGAACAAATATGACTGAAAAGATATTTCTGAAGAACATTACCAACCCTAGCTTTAAAAGCCTGCCTAGAAAGGGAGGCTTTACATCCCTTGAGCTGCTGGAAGGCTTTTCACAGGAAGTTGTGAGTTTCATTGATGGTAGCTTAATGCCAATAGGATTGAAAAGTAATGAATTAGAATGAATGAGTGAAAGAAATCTGTTAAAAGGGGAAACTCAGAGCAGTGGAGCGGTGAGTAATACAACACATTGGAAATGTACCGAATGCTGAATTTACCACGTGTGTCATTATAGTTCATGTAATTCCACCTCCCCTCACTGGTTGAATGTCTTGGTAAAAATGCTGTAAATGTTATTTCAATCCAGAATTATTTGGTGTTCATTGCATCATTGCATTCGTCACTTCCACTATTTACATTCAGACACCTCATCAAGTATTTTAACTTAAATGTTACGGCTTCAGAAAGCAAGATGTGAGCTTGTAATATGTCTGCCCAATGACCAGAATCGCAAGTCAATTTTAACAAGATATATAAAATGTGAATTCCTCTCATCTTGACAGTTTTGTCTTATTTATCTGGTTTTGAATAGCCAAGGCAGCAAAGTACGTTGGGGAGCTTAGACGTCCATTCCCTGGCCCCCTCCAGATCCTCCTGGGGATGCTGTGGCTTTCCCTGGCTCGACAGGATGTATCGCACCTCTGGCATGAGTCTGCCCTGAGGTTTCCTCCCAAATGGATGTCCACAGGGAGGCGTCTGGGAGGAATCTTTATCAGATGTCCCAACCACATCTATCGGCTCTCCTCGCAAAAGAGTTCCTTCAGAAAATCTGAGCTCTTTACTTCGTTCCCCAAGTGTGAGCCCAGACACCCTTTGAAAGAAACTTACTTTGGCCTTTTGATCATTGGAATATCTAATCTGACCCGAGGAACCTGGCCAACCAAATGTTCCCTCGATGTTCCTACTTCATTTTTATAACTGCACTTTTTTTTTTACCCCAAATAATAGTGATGGGTTGATCGTTAAAATTGTAAGGGCTGCAATACTTTAGACTATGTGATAAAATCCCCAATATTTTCACACTTCCCAAAAACAACTGTTAGATCGATCAGCAATAGGACATTGATTTGATTTTTCTATTTTTTTGGGAGGAGGGGCTTAGTAGAGTTTATCTTGTTAAGTAACAAAAAAACAAAGCAACAATGTTAAAAACAGCATCATGAACTTCTTGTGGCTAATGTTCCTCAATAATCCAAATGTGTCTTTCAGTTGGCCTCATCTAACAGTTTGAGTGTTATTCAATCCGTTATAGTCAAAACAAACGGCTCTCTGGGGGACAATAAAGATACTGCATTGAACCCTATTGAGCAGTAAAAGAGGAGATGTTCACTCACCCAGTGATCTGTTGGACACACATGTACTTACTGGATCTGCTGTGCTTGTGAGGACATTACATTGATTTACATGAATTCCCTTGGGCTTTGAAATAGATCAAACAGCAGCAATCCCACCGTGCAGACTCGATGTGTCACTGTGACAAGTCTCAAGATGAAACACTAAATGTACATCAGGAAACAATTATTGTGTGACGACACTGCAGCTGTGAGCCGGAGAAACACCAGATAGATGTGCGACCTGATTCAATACGGATGCATTGGTTACAGTGGTATCATAGCAACTAGAGTAAACCTGCTCCTAGCAACAATCTGGAGGTAGCTGTGAAAATGGACGAATCACAGGGGCGAATGTGGCAAAGTGGGGCTAAGTGGGGAGCAGGGCCGTCCTTCAATCAGAGGATCGGCGGTTCGATCCCCGGCTCCGCCTCAGCTAGTCGCATGTCGATGTGTCCTTGAGCAAGACACTTGACCCCCAAAACATTGCTCCCGTAGCTGTGCCTACAGTGTAGATAGAATCTGAATTGTAAGTCGCTTTGGATAAAAGTGTCTGCTAAATGACTGTAATGTAATCTATACTTTACTATTTCATATCTACATACAAAGCCCAATTTTCCCCTTCATTTTCCCGTTAAGTAGCTTTAAGATTTGAAAAATTGTATTCCACACTGTCTGACAGCATCATATATATTCCTTATCAACTTGTTCCAAATATCTACTGAAGATATATGATGTTTACGCTGAGTATTTGAAATATTTAAACAGACTGCAGTATCGTCAGTTGGGGTCTGGAAATAAAATCCAGAGTCATGTTTGTCTGAAACAAGACAAGACAAAGTAAAAATGCGGTCAAGTCTGAGACGACATCAAGACCTTCAAAAAGTTGTCTTGAGACACCACTTTGATCACCACAAAACTGCCGGCAGGTCATCATCACCTTACCAAAAATGTTTGTTTATGCTACGTATTAATGTTGAAAAGAAAATATGTGTTGAATACTTAAACTCTCAAATATCAATACCTGCCTTAAAGTGTTTAGTTTAGTTTTTATTTCTGTGTCACGCCAAATATATGGCCCATCCCTCATGGGATTTCAAGACACATAGACAGGACATATGTAGTATTGTTGGGCTGTACTGGAATCCATCTTGACCAACTGAATTCAACCTTAACATAGCGGGTGGTAACCTTCAACAAAAGCCACCTTTTCCATTCTCTTTTTTGAACATTTTAATACCGACAACAGTTTTGGGGTCTATTTTTAAAGGAAAGGTGCATGCAAAAATGTCACTGAAGATAGAGGTTTGAAGTGGTTTAGCTCACTTACGCATGGTTTCAGACCCTCATTCCAAACTGCTGGCCACTCTGCAGTCCTCTCACTCACAAATACTATGATTGGTGTAGGTGTAACCATAAAATGAGCTGTTCTGGCTGTTAGGATTGGTCAAAAGTTGCTCAAATTGTGCTCAAAATGTCCCAAAATGTCAAGACCAGTGGGCTGTCACAAGTCAGTCCTGACAAGTACTGCGAAGCCATATCACATTTTACACACAGACACACGCATGCATGGGATCTCACATTGAGTCATCACGTCCTGCACACAGAGGGTGTGAAAGACACTCACTCTGCATGTGAGAATCTCACTCTCACACACACACACACACACACACACACACACACACACACACACACCCCCCAAGAGAATACGCAGAGGCAATTAGTAGTGGCAATGCTGTGGCTGCCAATGTTCTGAACTTGTGCTTGTTTGCCCTGACAGCCAAGCAGATCATCTGTTCACATTATGGCTTCATGGGACCTGCATGTGCATAATGTGTGTGTGAATGTGTCTGAGGCATTATGTCTGTGTGTACACGTACACTATATGATACCCACACTTCTTTCTCTTCTGTGTGCAAGGTGTGTTTTAGTGTGTGTGTGTGTGTGTGTGTGTGTGTGTGTGTGTGTGTGTGTGTGTCCGTCCTAGTCTGCTAAGAAATTACGTTACCAACAAAAAAAAACTGCTTTGTCAATTGCATTTCGGAAAATATTTTACAGTTACATAATATAGTTTGGTCGTATGGGAACACAATTGTGTAGGAGACAAGGTTGGTGTGTATGTGTGCGTCCGAGAGAGAGACACAAAGACCTTCATTAATGTACATTTGGCTGTTTCCTGATGTGTATATGTGAGGGGGAGAGACCGTGACACGGAGTCAAGCTCATCATATGTCTCAAACAAACAAAGTGAGAGGCAGGGGTGGTTTGAAAAGGGGGAGGATCAAGAAGGAGTTGCAGTTAAAAAGATGGACAGATTACTGAAATTAAATCTGGAGAACAAAAGGTGGAAGAGTCGAGCACACAAAAGAGAAAAATATTAGCGATGCATGAGAAAGGGGGAGCATCGGGTCAGAGTGTGAACAATGCGTGTTGCATGCCAGTAAGTGTTAACTGGAGAAGTGTTAATTGTGTGCGAGTGTCACGACAAAAAAAAATGAAAGGTGAGGATGTGCTGCACAGGGTGAAATGTGACAGGAATACACAGAGAGACTAATCTCTACTGAATAAAAAGAAAAAGAAGAGATTTATTGATAAGTCAAAATGGAGCAAACAGGGATAATAATAATAATGTAAACATGACAACCAATGATTTAAACATTAACAGCGTACATATCTGCAGGTTTTAGGAAGTTGATCATTAGTGGCACTGTGCCTGAAATTGAGTTTAACAAGGCAACAAAAACCTGATCAAAGCTACAGTTGGTAACTTAACTTAACTAAAGATAACTTTTATCATATTTGCTCCAACTGTCACTATATCCAGACAGATACTCTGTGGAAGAAGTGCTCCTAAAGGCATTTACAAGAAGTATGTAAGAACATATGTTTTGTTTCCTCAGTGACACTGTTCTCCATATCAACCAGACATGGATGTTTTTAGGACTTGTCAACTCACAAATTCAACATTAATTAACTGCAGCTCACTAAATTTGCCGTTGACAGTCGCTATTTTAGAGATGGGATCAACTGTCACTTGCTACAGCTTGTTAAGACACTGTTTATTATAAGAGTTGTGAAAATGACACATTTGTCAAAATTGCGATTTCGATATTCGAGGCCAGTTACCAAGAGTAACAGGTTATTTTTGCTCTGCTATATAATATTACACACACACAACTGTGCAATTACACCTCTTCATCCTTGTAAATCTGTTCGCTATGTTCTGATCTGGCAGCCTTCAAATGCAAACAGTAGTTTCCATTCAGATGTTCTAAACTAGACTACAAAGCCATTATCAGAAATCCATCGCAATTTCATGGAAATCTATTTACGCTTTGTTTAACACAAAAATCAATCTTGACATATAGCTCAAATCGATACTATATATCGCTTAACCGTTTACTTTGTAGCATGAGTTTGTAACTATATTTACTTCACTTTGTATTGTCAAGAGAGAAGGATTCGCACACAGCACTAAAGGCTGGAGTGCCAAAACAGAGTCATACAATAAACACACTTTAGAAATCTTGAGTCCTATTCTTTTGAGAAAGACATCTGATACCAGGCACTAAGTGCCTCTGCGTAAAAAAGAGAGAGCAGCAGAAATGAGTTCTGACTGAGCCAGAGCCAGCTGCCAAATAGCCCTCTGCCAGCAACAAGCAGAAACATGGCCTCACCTCCGGGCCCGCGGACTACAAGACCACCTGGGTCGACAGAACACGAGCGCGACCCTGAAACATGACCGCAGCCCGATGCAAGCGATCATCATCAACACCAGGCAAACAGACTCAGCTGCTCTCCCAAATGCCGGCTATAAATACCGCCGGATCCTTAGCATTCTGCACGAAGTGTCAAGGATCAATAATTTATGCGAGCAAGAGAAAGTTGTCAGATCCAACAACGTCTACAGACAGAGCCGGAGAGCACGGCTTGTTTACGGAGCCGCTTTTCAGAGAACGATCCCGTTGATTAATCAGCGCTTGACAGTCACGTTGAAGAGGAAAGAATGTTTTCTGTTGAACGGGCAAAATCATTTTCGGATTGAAACGAGTGTATTTTTATAACCGTATCTTTGAAAGCGTAGGAGACAGAGAGATAGGGAAAGACACAGAGAGCGAATTTTGTAGCAACACTGGAGTCGTGATGAATTGTCGGGTGACTGCCAACAGCAGTGGCATGGCTTCACACAGTGTTTTCTGTTTCAGTTCTTCGTCCAGAATCCTGGACACCCATCAGATAGATATCTATGTTTCTGCACACCGAGCAGCCGCTGCACTAATGATGACTGCTGCTCATTATTGTATTATAGATTATTTTGCTGCAAACTTTTTGGGCACTTGGAAGTGGTGGAACATCTCACAGCTAGTGACACCTTGCTACATGTTAGAATGTCTTTGTCTTACACATTCAGAAGACAAAGAGCAACTCTACGTTCATTTTTGTATGTGTTTCTAGATAACCAATCACCTAGATATTTGACATACTTCACCAGCTAGTCACTAACTTTGTCTGTCTGTTGTTTGGTGGTGGGCAGGGAGCGTTTCAGTGGGTTCATCAAAGCCCCTTTATGCTAAAAACAGCAGCGTTCTACATTTGGAAACGAGGTGGATGGGAGCAGAACCAAAACAATAAGGCTAAAAGAGGCAAAAACCACCTGTTACCAGTGTTTCGCAGCCTCATAGATACTGGTTAGAAGGCACCTGCTACACCTACTAGTAGGTCCAGTAGGCCGTTATCATCTATTTCATACTTCATAAAAGTTGATTACCGATACAAAGACAAAAAGACTATGCTGACCTCTAGTGGCTGAAGTAATCCTGACGTAAGGTTACGTAAGGGCAAAGGCTGTATATGTCGCGTGTGAAACCAAAATACAACTTAGACTTATTTTATCATTCTTTTGTTACGTAACTTAGGTAGTACTTATTCTAACACAAACTAAAAGGCCCAAGCACAATCACTGATGAAGACACCCACTGATTGTTTTTCTAGTCCCCAACAGAGTGATACGTCTTCCGTCTAGCGGATCGTGTGATGCCAATTTCACATAATGTAGTTAAACTTTCATCCATATCAATATGTTAAGGGTTATCTGTAATGTACAAAAAAAATTCTTAAATAGCGACCTTGTTTTTAAACACTTCTAGTTCTGTGGTGTCAGCATTTCAAATCTGATGTCTGCAGTGCACCATAGGAGCATCAATTGACGTGCATCAAATGAGGGGCATCCTTTATATATATATATATATATATATCCTTTATATTTCTGTGCATTTGGGCCTTAAAACTAACCAAGTACTTTTGGTGCCTCACCCCACCATCCCCATAATGAGGATGTCTTTGAATTCAATGTGCTATGCTGTAACTGCCACAGTGGCTACACTTACTTTCAATATTTTTCCCCTTTGGTGCAAAGTTAATTGCTCCTTTAGGGAAAACGGGGTTGAACTTTAACCCTTAAACTTTGGAAATATGATAGAAGCATCTACTAATTTGCAGTGGAAATACTTGTAGGATCATTCAAACAAAACCAAAATAACTTCTTTTTTTTATTATTATTAATTCTGCCTGTTTGCTAGCCCGGATGTTTTGGGAATTACAAGATGAAAAAAAAGACTATCCAGACGTATCCAGCTGAGCACCACCATCGTCTAATATCATCCCAGAGGAGTTGCCCAGTATGACCACAGTCGACTCTTTGTTACCCAGTTGGAGCAGCCCACTTGCAGGCCTCCACCGCCCTCGCTGCTTAATCAAAATGAGGGTCGATTTGTAGAGTTCACGGGTGTAGTGCTCCCACAGCTCCCAGCCAGTTGGTTCAATTTAGAATAAGTCGACAATACAGACCGTGGCTCATATTGGTCCAGAGAGCTAACACTGAAACAGACCAGAACTCTCTCCTCCTCCACTCTGTGGCACAATGTTAATGTGTGTGCATGTGTGCGTGTGTGTCCCTAGCCTCATCCTGAGAGAGAGCAGCATCTATCACAACTCCCAGCCTCCACTGACACCTCCACTCAGGCTGAGGGATGGATGGTAACGGTAGCTTAGCTCTGTCAGGACGAACAGACACACGAAATACACACACAGCAACACACACTGTTGGTATATGTTATGTTGGACCTAAGACGAGGAGCAGTTCAATTTATTACATAGTTATTGTAGGATTGATCCGTACTATATCTGTTGCCTGTGGGAAGCCTCTACACTGCAGGACATGTTCACAGACCCAATCATTGTGGAATGTCGTACAGGTGAGTTAAAATATGTATATGTCAATTATGCTTCATGATCACATCATTACAGATGCATTTTTTTCCTGATTAAAAAAAGACGTGTTTAAGCTCGACCTGCAATCAGTGTCGACAAACCCGACACAGCATGGCCGTGGGTTAGACAACATTTGTTTTATATTATTTTCGTCTAAATAGCACAGAAGGGGAGCTGCATCCATGTAGAGGGAACTGCTAGAGGGGCTTCCTGATCCTGTCTTTCAGCCAGGAATCTCTCCAGGTCAGCAGTTAACTGGAACCCATTCATATCGTCAGGTACAGACAACAGCCACAAAGCATTGGAATCTACTCTGAACACATTATTTCGAGATAACCATACTGAAATGATCAAAATGTGCATTTAGCCTCTTTTAGCTCTTTGTTTTGGTTTTCTGGCCCACATACCCTGCTCGCATCAACCTTGTTTTACTGTTCTGAAAAGCCCAGTGACAACCACAAAAAGGACAAACAGACCGAGTTAGTTACTAGTTGAGAAGAACGGTCAGAAAGTTGGCAGCTAGTCAGATGGACCCAACAGAGCAAAGGAGAGGGGACACTAGATTTGTTAAGTGGATGGAAACACAACTCCGACTTAATAGTAATCTTGTTTCTGCTAAATGTGTCAATAGATGTCAGTCATAACAACTTCATAAGATGCTAAAATGTCAGATGTCGTATTTTGAGTTTGTTCCGAGGCTCCGAGTGGCCAAAAAGTGAGATCCTTTGCTGACCCACTGATAGCAGGATTTATTTTTAAGAGAGAGAAAATAGTACAAAAGCAGCTTTAGTGCTTGTGGTGTAGTCTTGCTTCTAGTGGAAAAAAAAAAAAAAAGAACTTCAGACAAAGGCTTTTTGTCACAGCACTAGCTGTTATAACACTTAGGTTTAGTCACTAAGTTGAGTAGGTGACGAGGTGTCTTACCCCGGGGCCTGGAGGCGATTCTGGAGGAGAAGCTGGTGGTACATATCTGTGGGCTGAAAAACACAAGCAAAACAAAACAAAAAGATGAAAAAAACAAACTTATAACCATGAAGTGTAAACTAATAGTAAGTATGAACTAAGTGCAACGTGTTTCTCTTTTGTGTTTGCAAAAAAACTCCAGTTCAATGTTCAACTAACAACATCGTAACGTCTTCCCCGTGCTCTGCCTACCTGGCAGCACTGCTAATTGTATAGTTTGGTTCGACATCTAATGGAATGGCAGCTTGTGAGAGGGAATGGAAGATGACAGTAAAATGTCTTTTTTTTTTTTTAAAGATTGCTTTGTCGTCGTTTGGACTTTGCAGTCGGGTGGCATCCTGAGGTATAACGAGTACACTGTGATAATGTGACCTGCATAACTTGCATAACAGCGAAGTAAACAACCGCACTGAACATCGCGATGCTAAACTACTCACAATCAGTCAGAAATCTTCCCACAGATCAGGCGGCAGAGTGGGATTTAGATGTCACACTGAGTATGAAGTCTGACAATGCTTCCTGAGGTTTTTGGTTGGTAGCCATGGTAATACTGAAATGAAAAGCTTTCCAGCATCTCTTTGTCCTCCTCTCCCACTCGTTCTCGCTCTCTGTGCCGGGCTTGACTGGCCTTTTGGAAATTGCTTCAGTTGCCTGAGGTGTCTTACTGTAGCTCCCATCTGTTCAGACTACATGCTCACAGAGTGGACACGGAGCAGAGATAGATGGCTGGCTCTCCGTCACAAATGTGCTCTGGCATCCTCCCGGCAGCCATTTTTTTTTTTTTTAAGGGCTCTCTGTTTTCCTCACTGTTTCACCTCTCGAGCCGGTGAGAAAATGTGTGTCACCTCATTAGCTGCTGGACTGTAAGCAATTGGCCGCTGATTTGTGATCAACGAGAGGCCGCCTTGACAGCTGAGCAAACTAGCAGCTGTACGAGAGCCGGACACAAGCACCTACGTGTGCACAAGGCACCGGGGATTGAGGAAGAATATATTTAAATATGTAAAAATTATGAATCATTAAACTTCATTGATGAGCTTTTCTGTCAAAACAGCATATTTTATGCCTCTCAGCTTATCATTAGAGGCAAATTATAGATTAATAAAAAATGTACGGACTTCACAAGTATTTCCACCCGCATGTAGATGTCTACCATGAGTAATTTAGAGGTTTCACATTTGGCTTGTCTGCTTTTCCCCCTGCCGTGGCTTAACTCTCCTGTCGTTTCAGATCGTGTGTTCACCGTCACCTGACATCTCCTGCCCACCTGCACCCAAGTAGCATATATGGCGGCCCACTTCCATTCATTCCCAGCCAGATGTTCGATTGTTGTTCTGCCTTCGCAATCCAGCTATTGTCTCTGCTTGCCTGAGTTTTACCTGTTATGACCCCCAGCCTGCCTTTTGAACTCCAGCTCTGTAGCCTGATCCCCTGTTGGTTGGCCAAGTTTGTCTCATCTCCCTGCCTGCTTGGTTTTGACTTCTGGCTGTTTTCAACCTAAAGTAAACTTTTAATTTACCAGCCTGGTCTCAGAGACGTGACTTTGGAGTTTAAACCATTGACCTTATATATAGAGATGGACAACGTCTCGATCATCCCCTGGCGGCTGGCTGCAGTACAGGTCATAAACCCCGCCCCCTCCATGTTAGCTGATGGGACATGGGCGGAACTTAAAAAATCAAAGTACACATCAAATGCATTTTTCCCAAAGATCAGTCATTTTAGGTAGCTTTTATCACATTGATGTATGATCAAGTGTTAATTTTTCGAATAAGTTTGGTTTTAATTAGATATTTGACACTTAAAAAAGGGGGTGTGGCATCATGAGTGACAGGATTGGCTCCGATCAGGATTGGCTCAGGTGGGTATATCGGTCCCCGATCACTACTTCCCAGACTCCGGCACCAAATGACGTAAAAAAGCACAAGATGGCAGCTCACGTACCGGGGTTATTTTGGCTTCACTTTTGTACAGTTGGAGGAAGTGGAGATGCATCGTCCATCTATAGACAGTACATGGTCTATGGTTGAAAACCAGTTTTCAGTGGGCCTTTACAAAAGGTTACAAGTAGCTTGTTTCTTTCTATCCAATGACTGATTCAAAGGTTGTATAGTGCAGTGAGCTTTCCACATTAATAAATATACATGCATCAAGGACGTGAATTCCATATTTGAGACGGACTATGAATTCCATATTCGTCTAAATAAGCAATCTGCAATGGAAAGCAGCACACTTACTTGCATACGTCCACACACACACACACACACACACACACACAAACACACACACACACACACACACACACACACACACACACACACACACACACACACACACACAAAACAAAGTCAAGGATGATTAAGGCGCTGAAATCAAAGAATGACAGAGATTCACAATATCATTCTCCTCTGAACACTAGCCCAAATCATTCGGGCTCCTTGGGCGATCCTCTAAGGACACTTGAACACTGATTAAAATGTCATTAATAGACTTTGCCAAAAGCCTTCTCTACACACCCTGAAGTAGGCCCTGATCAATGCTATTGTTCTCCAGCAAGATAAGTTAACAGCATCATTAGTGGGGAAACCATTGAGGATACGACCGGGGTCCACTCAAGTTCTTTCTGCTGTCACTGGGATTGAGTGGCTATGTGTAGTGTTTACTACACGTTTAATCAATTCACTGACGGGCACAGAGCAAATCGGCAGTATGGGCTTCAGTCAGCGATGCAAACAGTGGCACATCATTTATCTTTGGCTGTAAGTGGGATGTGGAATATTTAATCAGAACTTTGTTTAAGTGGGAGGCATCTTTAAAGCTCGGGGTTCAGGTTATTTTTGGAAGGATATCGTGGAACGGTCATGCTTAATTGGGAGAGACAGAATAAAAATGCTTCCGTTAGAGAAATTCAGCAGCATACACTGATAACCCCTTAAAATCTGAAGGAAAAAAAAGAAACAGGGACTTGGTTCAGTTTTATTTTCATAATTTCATGTTTTTAGCACTTGAAAATGTTTCAAATGCAGACTGAAGCTGTTCTGCCACAATGATCCCTCTTGTATGGATAAACAGAATGCGTCACTGGGAGTCATTGAGTCCGGGAAGGTATTTTTAGAAATTTGCTGATTTTTCAGCACAACAATAAGCAAAGTCCGTGCGGGTTTGGAGAATTTTGAGAATCAAAGTTGGTTCAAAAAAGGTCAAAGAAACTGTGGGAAGTCATACTTTAATATACAATCTACACTCCAAACCAATATAATTACTTACACTTGGGAGAACTGGCGTTGATCTCACAAAAACAGGATTATGGCGCTAGATGGGTAAAAAAAAAAAAAAAGGTTTCTTTTTATCCCAAATATAAAAAAAGCTTGAGGCAACGGTGGCCTTTCTATGTGAGATTACAACAACAGGAACCAGTGGTTTCTATGTTAAAAGATGGATAAATAGTACAAAATGTTAAATGTTAAATGGCCAAAAACCCACTGCAGAACACCACTGGATTAAAAAGTGGTTCAGTGAATAACAGTGAAAATCCAAGTACAGGTTCTATAAAAGGTTAAGAATGAATCTCCATGCTCAAACTGTACAAAAATGATCTACTGCTACAATATTTATTACATTATATTATCTGAGAATATGGGCATGAGTCCTATATGACTAAACTAAATTAGCTATGGGCCGAGTGTGTTTGTCGTATTTACCTTTAAAAGCACAATTTAGTCCCGAAAGAATGTGCGTGTCATTGTCTATGTTCAGGCCAAAGTTCCTCTTTCAGAGCAGACGTCAGTATGAAGATGCAAAGCAATGCTTGTTCAAGTTCAAAAGGTCCTAATGGACTGCCAGAGTCGTCTCCTCGCACTTTGTGTTTATTCCCCTCAGACCGCAACCGTTAAATGTGCTAATCATGCAGGGAGCAGGAGGTGCAATGGAGATAACACTGCAGAGGTGAGGGCTGCATCACATGCAGAGGACAGGTTAGTTTGCGGCTTAGAACTTTGGCTGATTCCACCTGGGTGTTGCCGCACACTTGAGGCGTGCAAACAAAAACAACACACACTTTCCGGTCCAATAAACAAGAAAGAGAAACAAAAATGTGGTTCCTTTTAAGCAGAGAGCAGCAAAGAGCTTTCATCTTGAGAGAAACCCTTTTATTTCAGCTTGCTCCTATTCCTTTTGTTGTGTGTGCTTAAAGAGCCATTGTGGATTACATGATGATATTTACCCTGTAAAGGTGATGATGGTGATCTTCTGTGACGGGACACATCCTCCTGCTTTGTCCTCAGAGATGCCTTTGGGCTGGATGCCTTCCTTTCCAGACCGGACGACAGCCGAAACGTTACGGTATCCTTCGCCTCCGCCAGAGAAGAAAGATTCACACATTTCAGGAACAAAAGAAAAGTGTCGGAGAATTAACAGTTCGGATTATGTAGGGAAGGACACATCTGGAATGATCGAGATAGCAGCGGAAGAAGGAGATATGTGTCGGTGACGTGTAGTTATTTTCCAATATCTGAGCTGTGTGAAAATTCGCAGCTAAGGTGCGAAAAGTGATTTTGAAATGTCTGATTCTGTCACTAAAAAGATGTGACTTGCAGACAATCATTTGTCTGCACGTGTGCTGTAGACCGTGGTGATGATTTACAGTGCAGAGCTTTAAAGGATGATGTCATCTGCCTTTGTACTGTATGAGGGGCTACCAATAAAGACAACTTAATGCACCACATTATGTCAAAAAAAACAACAATTAAAATCTATGATAGTTTTCGCCTTCAGGGAAACATCTGTGTGAGTGCCGAAAACAGCACAACGTCTTCACACCAACGCATTCTTTACGTTTTGTTCCTCCGACAAAAAGGCATGCCTCTGTGCCTCTTGTGTTACCTGAGCTGAGCCTGGAGCTGAGAGTGGCGCAGGGCTCTGAGTTTTGGCAGACATCTCTGTGCTGTAGACCATGACTCCGTGAGGGTTTGGCTTTGCACCACCTTGCAGAACAAGCTGTATTTCTTCCCCCTTCCAGTCAGCCGGCTCCTGGAAGGGGCACCAAATCCCCCAACGGAGGCACTGCAAGAAGGCCGCTCGGGACGTGGAGGTGGCAGACAGCTGCGTGACGGAAAAAGACACAAGATTAGAGGACATTCAGACACCGACATGATTATTACTGTTTCCGTATATGGAAAGAACCTTGATTAGCCTTTTCGTAACCCCACGGAGTAATATAGCAATATTTAGAATAGCATAAAAGGCAAAGCATTACTTCTATTCTGCTTTCAGATCCGGCCTGCATTTCGGTTCCAATAGTCCCATAATGTTGGTCAAAAATATACGTTTTTCATTCGTCTGCATGAGTAAACAACCAGTAATAAGACATGACAATATGACAATGATACTGCTACTATAAATGTGCAAATTTAAAAGAAATTAAAAACAGTAAAACAACAATTTTGTCTGCATTAGATATCACGATATAGTGTGCCACTGGAATAATTAAAGTGTTTAATTTCAGTTAATTAATACATTGATGAATTTAATATAGCAGAGCATTCAAAATGGGGATTCACTCAAATTCAAAATACATCAAATATAGTAGAAATTACCAATTCATTACTCTATTTATTTAATCACAAAATGAATTGTAGAATGCTTTCAAATTTGACTTTGCACTTTTACTGCGATACTCATATAAGCACATAAGAGTTTGGAGGGTGGTATCATTGTTAATTGCCTTTCCAAAACTAAAAATACAAGATCAAGGAATGGATTTAACAGTTAGACATAAGCCACTAATGTCAGTAACGATGCCTTGTTTTAGTTAGCTGCTGTAACTTTCTTATCATGTTGGGGTACGTTAGAAAACTCCCTGTCCAGGATTGACACTAGATTGTCTGCCTGCACATATTCACCACTATGTATACACACATTGGTAAACACAAAGCTATTGGTAAGGTTCTATTTCAGGATGGCTTTATTTAAAACATTTGCTGACATTCTTGCATGCAGTGTGCCTCGTGCAAACACAAGTCCAACCCAACAGAGCAGCAGCAAGAGCTCTGATTGTACAGCTGACATGTGTTGGCAGGAGCCATGTGTTGGGTCAGTGGCACACTCAAGGTTTCATAACCACAAACTCTGAAAATGCCAATTTGTGAATTTAGTTTGGAACATAATAAACATATGGACCACCAATGGAAGAGTGGATAATGCTGCAGGTTGGGTTTGAAAAGTTTATGTAATATCCAATTATGCTAATTAACTTTCAGTTCACTTTTGTAGAGTCACTTTTTTTTTTTTACAAGAAGGGAAACTTGATTTGCAGTCAGGTGCACAAGATTTAAAAAAACAAACAAGTAAAGAACAAAAAGTGAGGGAGGGACTGAGTTTCAAGCTCAGAGTGGAAGGGGTGGGGTCTGCCATGCAGCATCAGGGATTCTGATGACAGCATTATCACAGCAGCACTTTGCAGCCTAATGAAAAACCTCCACGATACAGAAGATTAGGAGTTAATGCATCTCCAGGGTTTAGTCAGACATTTTCAGGAGAATGGCAAAGAAATATATATATATACTGTATATATATTCCTGGTGCGGACATTTAAATAACCGATACATCATTTGCCATATTACTGTAACTAAATCACTAAGTACTCAACTAACATGTGAATAATTTAGAGGGCAATGTGAAAATGGGTCGTATCTACTACAAAGCTTTGAAAGGAACGTGTTGCAGTGGTTTTGCGTGTAACCAATGCTTCTATATGGTGAATGCATTAGGGGATTAAGTACCGGGTCACACCTACAGTGTGTTGTGTTTGGTTATGATTTACAATCAGTCCCATAGCCCCTCTACTGCAACCATACCAGGGAAAGTCAAATAAAAAAAGGCATTTTGTTTGGAATGATCCACAGAGGACTCGAAGGTTTTGCTAAATCGATTAATGAGCTGGTCGGCCTCAGACAATAGTAATCAATCACAGATGGGACAGCATATAGAATACACAACGAGCCTGCTAGTCCACGTCGTTTCAAGATAAAGTGGAGCATATAATGGTTCACTCAATGCTCAACTCCCCTGAGCACATTCTTTACATGCAATACCATTATCCCAAGCTATAGGTCATCACTCCGATACAGTAACTATACTGCCGGCATTGTAAAAGTCATGCAGTGTCCGTTGGGTGGTATTATGGAAAACAGGAACTGCCTGCAGTAGTTTTGAAACAGAATGTGCCAACAGAGATGTTCTTTAAGTGTGCTTCAAGCACAATGTCAGTAATTCAACGGAATGAAACAGCACCATAAGATCTAAACATTATGTTCGCCTTCATTTGATAGATGAGGGGAGACAGGGAGGGTTATGACATGCAGCAGAGGTCCCAAAGCTGGAATCCAACACGGGGCCGTTGCACCAATCTGAACATTCGAAACCAATTGTGTTACTTCTTCAAATTCTGGGTCTGACTCGGGTTTGTATACTGCCAGATATGGAGTTGATTTGCAGTTCTTTATGGTCGGTCCAGGTTTGGGATGGCAGCACTGGCAATACTAACAGCCAAGAGGAGAGGAGCCTGTTTCCCCAAACTTTACACCAGGCTTGGAACTTTAAACTCAGCTGTCATTGTCCTCAGAACCACCTTTTCCTTTCAGCAGCACAGCTGAGTCTTCACAAGGCTAAATAATGCAATGGAGAAAAACCTCCACAAGGAGTGTACGGATGAAAAAAAAAAAAAAATACGTTTTTCCTTATTGATTTTTGTATTCAATTTCTCACTGGCATCACACATGCCCACAGTTCATAGTGATATACAGTAGTTCCCCAGCTGTAGCAGCAGATCCCCAAAGAGGAGGAAAACTCAAGTGGTGTATGACATTGCATGTAACAACTGTAGGGAAGGACTACTGAAGGGAAGACTAAAAAACCAGTACCAGCATCCACTGGCTCCAGGTCAACGTCTCCAACCAGGTGGCAGCTATTTGCAAGAGGTTTCTGGGCTCATTCAATCCCATTCACACAGCACGGGACAACATCAGAGTACACATATCACCGTTACTCTAATGATCCGAGTGTGTAATATTTCCTGGTTGTTGATTTAAATGACTTATTATTGCTCCGCAGAATCCTAGTCGCTGCTCCGATTCATTGAGAGCCCCCTTCAAACAGCAGAGCCTTTCCTGCCAAGTAGAACTGAATATCGGTCATCCGGAGCAAAAATTCAAAACTAAATGACGAAACCGGTTGGTTGTTATTGCCATGTTTCTAATACTTGGTTAGAGGTTGGGAATAAATGAAGTTTAATTATTAACATAGCCACAAGAAGTCCCTGTCAGGTAAATAAAAAAACAACAACTCACAACCAATGCTGTCTTCGTCTTTCAGGGCAGTTTCAAAATGTCAGATTATTATGCGAAGTAACCTCGCTGTCCTGTTAGCTTGCTACCAAAGCCTAAAGCCAAGTGTTCAGATAATGGGGCTGACATTTCACGCACTACACTACAACTAATAGTGGACTTCGGCAGAAATCAAGGGAGCTAAAAAGGTGTAAAGGTTAAAAACATGCCATCCCTTTTGTTTTGGGGAAAGGAACAATTTCTTCAGAATGCCGTCGGCCTCGTCTGTGTGATTTGTGCTACAGCTATAAAAACAATATACATATAAATTGGTCAGTCGTACATATCTGTTGTATACATCTTTTCAAAGCTCCGGATGCAGATCAATACCCCATTCCTCTCAAGAGAGAGTTGGTTTTCAGACTATAATTTTACCCCCAAGTAGCACAGACATTATGAACAGCTATTTATTTGAACTGTAACTCCAGAAATATATGGCAGCCATAAAACAGATAGCAGCAAATTCCCCCTTGAGGCATTGCCTGTTTCTCCATCTCATGGGGTTGAATTAATACGATGCTTTATACGAAAAGACTCAATCAAACAAGACTATTTTCAAAGTGACGATTTTGAGAAAAAAAGATCCAACTAGAGAAAGATCACTTTATGGCGTAGGGTGAAAGCCTGTATAGATCGTGAGGGGATTTATCTAATGCGTCTCTTTCCTTTTCATTCCACTCACTCTCCATCTCTAACATGTCTGTGCTTTTAACAGAACGCGAGGGAAAGAGCAAAACGAATATCGAGCACATGACTGAACACACACTTCTTGTTTTATTCAATGAATGTCTTCGTAATGTTGCTGGGAATGATTTGGGAGCAGAAACGGCGGGCTGAGCTCTGTGACAATGAGGGAGACAAAGGAGCAATCAAGGGGGCCTCTTCTACCGGGGCACCTACAGCCTATAGGAAAGAGCTTTTATCTGTCCGACACTCAACGCTTATCACACACTTTCAGCCTTCCAATCACAGGAAACTGAGAATGACTCGATGTTCAAAATTGTAGTACGTGAGCGCGAGTGAGGATGAAAAGGACTGTGAGCCAAAACACCCATCGACAAATGTTTCAGCCCGTATCTTCTTGTGTGAAGTTAACATCCACGACTGGGATCAAACAGACAAGTAATAACTTATTAATGGACAAAATCTTTCTGTAATCACAACAATAGCATGAAAACATGCACAGCGCAAACTAAAAAATTCCCTTTTAGACCAGCAGAGCTGGCACCCACATGAATCACGATCATGGTTTCAGTGCAGTGTTTTTTTTAAAGTGCTTCGGAACAGAGATCCACACATGAACTGCATGAAGCGCTGACAGCTCAGGCTGACACACAATAGAGAATCTTTGGTTGTGGTTCGAGTAAACAAACAGGGATAATAGTTTCATTCACAGCCCGGCAGAATATTCACACAATGCACGTAATCCTCGGACAAAAACAGTCCACAACGCTCCGGCTCCGCACGTCAGCGGAGATCAGTGTTGCATCCACATGCGAGCGTAGGTGGTTTAATGGAATTGCGGCAAGGACACGGTGCCGTAGGAGGTGGTTAGCTAATGTATGCATGTGTTGAAGGCTTTCAGTGAGAGGCAAAGTTGCCCAGAGGGTCAGACACATCCACTCATTCTGAGCACCACAGTACCTCAGTGAGTCTTAATCAATTGCAAAGCCTGCTTGTGATAGCAAAGAGACATCAAATCAATGGCATTTTATTTCA